CCCCAAACCCCCAAAACCCCAAAACCCCAAAACCCCTCTTTGCTTTGTAAAAATAGAATATATACAGAAATGGGACCTGGACCATTCAAACTCTTGTGTGTCCTGCAGCTGGTGATTGCAGGCTTCACCAGAGCAGACCCGGTCATCGACACTATTCTGACAGGATACGTTTCAGGCCAGATTCCTTCAGGAGTATCACTACCAATGACTGTTGATTATCAGATCAGTCTGACTCCATTTTCTGTAGTCGAAGAACTACAAATGAACATGGAGGTCATATATCAAGAGAAACTTGTGTGGACTTTTCCGAGTCTGGCTTATCAGGACAACCCTGCAGTTCCTGCCAAATACAAGACTGCCCACGTCAGTTTAAACTCAGTGATTGGGCGAATATGGCGGCCAGCCGTCCACATTACTGCGATGATCAGGAGAGAAGCCAAAGACCGGAGCTTAATCTTGTACCCAAACGGAACTCTGGAGTTCACCTCGTACAACTTTGTCGCACTTCACTGAGAAATGAAGGTGAGGAAGATTCCATTCGACCGCCACGAGTGTCAATTTACATTCTACCTGAGCAACGAAGACGACTCTGTGCTTGTGCTGAGCGGAGTACAAGAACCTTCATCAGGCCAGAGCCAGCTCAGCAATGACCAAGAGTTTGTCGAGCAATGGAGCTTGCAGAACACTGTGTTTGACATCCGAGTGAAGCCTTTCAAAGAGAACAACGTATACTTTGGCTACAGCAACAGAACCCACAGCGGAGTCAAGATGACACTTGAACTTGACAGGAGGTATGGGTACTTCCTAATTTACTTTTTCTTTCCCTCGCTGTTAGTTATATTCTTGACATATGCAGGTTTTTGGCTTGACAAAACAGCAGTCCCAGCGAGAGTGTCGATTGGAATAACTCCAATCCTGATCACTCTGAACTTGGTTTCAAAAGCCAACTTCAACGTTCCGGCCACTTCCGAGTTGACTTGGATGTCTCTGTTCTTTTTAGGAATCTTCGTGTTCACATCGTTCGGGATGCTGGAGTATGGAATTCTGAATTTCTGCAATACTTTTTACGTGGGAAGGAGGAAAGAAATTAATGACAACATCAATAAACTCAGGAAAAGAGAGGAAAAATAAGGAAATAAAATATCTTGAGGAAGCTAGGAGAAAAGCTAGCAAAGAAAAGTATAAACCCTCCCTTTCTTTTTCCCAACTTTTTATATAGCTCATCAAGTGACTCTGATTCAAAGTCATCCCACCAAATAAAGGACCAATCAGAGGTGAAATTTTCCAACGATCGTAGTAATACACCTGAATTTACTGAGAAGAGGGAGGATAACAAGGAAGACCAATCGTATTTGCCTATTGATATTTAGCCAAATTAGTGAATCTAGCATTGATCACCATAAAGCTTTTGATATAGACACTTCTAACGATAACAAAGTAAATTATTATCCTCATCTTTAGAGCGAGAATAATAAAGAACATGAAGAAGAGACTGAAAAAGAAATTGACAACGATACCAATAAGGAAAGCGAAATAGACTCAATCGCACCAAAGAGATTACAATTTAATCTTGATGAAAAGCACAAAGGAGTCTCTTCATTGAGAATTAAAAATCTGGATATGAGAGAGCCATCTAACCAAGAGCCCTTAAGGCCTATAGGTAAGTCATTTAGAGGATGAAGTGGGGGAAAGTTAAGTTAGGATACAAAGTTGTATTAGATCTCGAAAGTTAGAGTTTAAGACTTGGCATATAAATTAATACACATATGGTTTAAGTATCTAAAAATTAGAGTACCGAATTAAATTTAATGTGTAAGCTAGTTCATTTAATTTGGCTCATCATCTCAGTTTTCCTAACTGAGCATGAGATAGGACCAGCAGACAATTACATAGTATTTTATTCCTTTAATACTGTTTAGAACACACAATATATGGTATAATTTTCAGTTTGTTCTTTAACTTGCACTTTTTCGAAAAGGGATATGATGGCCAAATTAAATTGATTCATTATATAAGCATTAAATCCAGTTCAGCTCTTAGATTTCTTGATTATCTCTTTGGAAATAAAAGTATTAGAAAATAGTACCCTATCAAATCTTTCCTTTAACATAGAAGCTAAGAAAGATAAAACTTCAGGTAAAAGTGTAAAATTTGCTGATCAAAGGAGAAGTTCAAGTCATTACTTTGATGGTAATCTTGAGCTGTCAAAAGCTCTCGATCAAAAGACTCAAACTCTTGTCCCGAACTTACTTGGTGTGCATAATATGGGTATACTCAAGAGCAGATTTGGTTCTCCAAATGGTGCCAATAATCTTGATGCAAATAACATAAGTATAAGCAAATCTAGCTTTGTAAGTTCTTCATCGAGTGATTCTTCATTATCCTCTTCCTCTGAAAGTGAGTTTGACAACACCAAGCTTTTACCACCAGGAGTGGAAAATAGGAGGATGAGTAAATCCTTCATCGTAAATTTTGCCACCTCAGATAAACCTTGGCTAGAGCCGAAGCTCAAAGACAGTAAGACCAAGCTTATCAACAAGAGTCATAACAATTTGATTGGAGAACTCAAAGCTGAAAAGAATGGCCGAGCCTCAGTGAATTCTTTAAAACGCAAGAAGACGTATAGCAAGAACGATCCAGAAATTTACAAGACCTTTGTTAACCAGGTAAAAAGCTGTTTAATAATTCCTTTTAAACTCTCTATTCTTAACTTCAAAACTATGAAAACTTTGGATGTGTCCTTACTAAGACTTGTTTAACAAATTTAGGCGAAAGAACTGTACCCAAAGATGTACCGGAATAAAAACATGGCAATAACAAGCAGTAAAAATATGAGTAAGAAATCCTTAACTTTCTAGGGAAAACTGATAAGAAGAATATGAGGATCATCAAGAAAATTATTAATTTGGAAAATACATTCTTTTTCCATTTCTGAGACTTTATAACGTTCAAATTTGAGTACTACGTGAGGATATTCTTTCCTCTAACGTTTGTTTACTACCTGATTACGATCTTCGTCAGCCTGAGTGATATCAAACCACTGATATATTCATTGATCATTCTGGAGATTCTTTCCATAATCGGCCTCATGTTGTTCTTTATTGTTAAGGCCAGGCTCCAAAAAGTGAAAAATAAGTAGAATAGTCACACAGAAGAACTTTATATTCAATAATATTATGAAGGAATGGGGTTTTGGGGTTTTGGGGTTTTGGGGTTTTGGGGTTTTGGGATTTTGGGGTTTTGGGG